ATGGGACCAGTTGCTGGTAACGCAGAAGCCGCGCATGCCCAAAAAAGGCATGAAGCCATGGAAACCCCGCCTCCTGCACTCGCCAGCTGGGCTCTGCTCTAGGAAGGAGGCAATGGCAAACCAATTCCGAAACACCTTGCCTTCAAAACTGCAGGGACTCATCCAGGCAGTCGCTGCAGAATCAGTAACGATTGAGTGCGGATTAAAAAAAAAAAAAACCAGATTGGGTACCCCCCCTTTTTTTTTTGCCTTGAGTGGACCATGAAAACCATAGGATGTTATTCTATGTAATCTATGTCAAGTTTATTTTAAACTTTGTACAGGGACCTATAAAAAATTGCATATTTTCAATTTCCTCTTCCAGGACAAGAGTTCCGAGAAAAGGGTATACAGAAGGCCAAGGCTCCCCTTCCCAGAAAGTAAACAGTGACATATTTAAAATTCTTCAGATTATAGATCCATGTAACAGCTCTCTCAGTACTATGGTTTCATAATAATGCGCTCACTATGAAGCAGTAGGAGAGAATTCTAAAGGACACTTGCTTGACCCAGTTATATCTAAATTTACCTGCAATGCTCAGCAAACACTTCTCACTCTTGACTTTTAGCATTACCACTGATTTTGCTCTGTTATTCTGATTGTATAATGCTGCCAATCATGCAAAATAATACCTTGGATTTGTAGTGTATACCCTTGGGCAGAGGTGGAATGACTATCATTTGTTTGAGGAAATAAAGAGGGATTTATTCTCTAGTGCTTTCAGTGAATTAATTATCCACAGGACTTCCCACTTCTTATGTGATCAGAATATTTGTATAAATTCTATTTGCTCCAATCAAAGACATAAGAGCCCTGATTAAATTCCCACAGACAGTTAATAAACAGAATAATAACATACTAAGAAAAAAATGTTCTATTTTCAAAAATGTTGAAACAATAACTGGAACATATTAGTGTACTGATTCAATAAAGTCCTATAATTAAGAGTATAAAACATGTTATCCTGAATCAAAACATAGTTTTGGATTTTGGCTTGTTTTCCTATGATAAACTAGATTGTCCCAGTCTGATGCTCTTCTGGTATATTAGGTACAATTCTTATAATCTGTAGATATCCAATGGACAATTGTGTTTAATTTAAAAATGAAAGTGGGAACTTTTGGGAAAGTAAGCAGTGAGAACCTAAACAAATGAACAGCATAATTCATCAGGCTCTCTGCATGTATTTATCAGTTATAGGAATAATATGCACTATGTCCTTCTATGTTTCATTTGGTATTATGTCTTAAAAACTTATAGTCACATGTCCTCATCCATGCAATCCTTTCACAGAAAGAAGATTAATAAAATCAAAAATATTACTGGACTGAATTCCCCATATTTGGTTTACTAATACACTGAAACACCTTCCACCCAAAATAAAATGAAAGGAACAAGCAAAACTCCAGCAAAGCCTAAACTATTGCAGCAAAAATAGCAAAGATTCTTGTGACATTGTAAAAATGAACATTAGCTGTGTTATTAGTTTTGTGTACCTGTACCTTTCTGCAGGAAACATTATTTTTAGCTGACGTTTATAATCTCTCTCCTCTCGATCGTTTACGCCTACATTAAGTTTGAAATGCTCCGTCAAAAAGCATAAAATGCAAGCAGTTCAGTAGGTTTGTGACATCTCTATGCAACTTTCGAGAAAAGTGACCATTTACAACAGAGCACCTTTATACTGATATTGCCATGTTACTTACTTTGTTAGGTTATCAATTAAAACCCAGAAGACCAAAATCAGAAAGTGATAAATTTGAAGTCAATAGTTTCACTTGAGTTTCTTTCTGAGACATTTCAATTTTTCAATGTTTTATTTTATCAATCATTATTAGTATGGAAAGTAATATGTTGCTTCATTAAGGTTCCAAATAAATAGTGCTCCAAAAGTAAAATGAAGATAGTAACAGATCTCACTACTAATCTCATGTGGCAAAGTCAAATTTCTTCTTTATTGTCTTCTGTCTAAATAAGATAAGCATTTACCTGTGTTAGTTCATTGCTGTCTACAAGTCCATTGTTGTCTGAATCATAATATTTAAACATCTGATCCACCAATAATTTCTTCAAAGCCATTTTATCTTCAACAATGCTGTCTTTTGTTTGTAGAATATATCTTCTGTTCTGTAGATCCAGCAGGAAATTTTTCATCTTGTTGTAGTCAATGGAATTGCAGTTGTCCCCTGTCAAGATAATACCGTGTTTAATAATAATCATACCACTTTAAAAAAAAAAGAACAGCTTTGTTACAGTTTCATTAGGACAAATATTACCACTGGATCCTGATTCTTAAACATGCTTAAAGATATTCAGACCAATACTTATGAGGCAGAAATGGAAGCAAAGACAAGATGATATGACTGCTCTGATCAATTTTACAATCTGAACTGCATTTACAGATTTGGATGGACCAGAATCCAAGATATCCAATCAGCAGTTCATCATGTGCCAGTGGTACTGTTTGCTAGAAAAAATTAGGAATTGGGCCACAACTTAAATGACATTCAGAAACATGTCTGAATCAGAGGTGCGATTGGCCCCCTCACTCCTGGCCTTCCGAAGGGCTTTGAAGAGCTGGTTCTGTCACTTGGCCTGGGGTGCGGAGGGAATACCTCAAGCATGGGGAAGGCTAGCCCCATAGAAGCCTGCTGTCTTTAGCCCCAGATTCTTCATCTTCTTGGACTCTCCTTTTCCTCTTTTTTAGTATTTTTTTTTTTTAATTTTGATGTTTTATGTATTTATATGTATTTATGGTTTTAATGTTTTGTGTGAGTCGCCCAGAGTCCCCCACTGGGGGGAGGTGGGCGGGGGAGAAATTAAATAACCATAGAAGCCTGCTGTCTTTAGCCCCAGATTCTTCATCTTCTTGGACTCTCCTTTTCCTCTTTTTTAGTATTTTTTTTTTTTAATTTTGATGTTTTATGTATTTATATGTATTTATGGTTTTAATGTTTTGTGTGAGTCGCCCAGAGTCCCCCACTGGGGGGAGGTGGGCGGGGGAGAAATTAAATAAGTAAGTAAGTAAAATAATAGAAGGTCAAACTATATAATGACACCCACATTTAAAGAATTAGAAATTAAATGCAACTCACAAAAAACTTCACCTCTACAAAACAACATAACTTTTAAAGTTGAGTTGGAATGATAAAGCTTGCTAAACAGGCGGAAGAGAGATTCAAAATTATTAGTATTTACATTAAGCTTTTTCACTTAAATGATTTCAAATGGAAGAAACAGAAGTATCTTAATTAAAAACCAGTCAGTAACATCCATTTTGTTAAAAACACCAATTACACTCATACAGAGAAATGGATGCTAATTTAAGTGTGGTCAATAGCCACCAATTTTATTTAGTTGAAATGGTTTACAGTGATTATCAAATGACTTTGTGAACTTGTGATTTTGCTAAATGGATATTTGGTCACCAAACATAGCGATTTCACATAGGTAGGATATGCAAAAAAAAAAAAAAAGTAGCATTTTTGGAAAACTATTCCTGTTAACTATTTAAACTCAGGTTTAGAGCCACAACTCTTATAGATTCAGAGATTATAGATGAGACCATTGTGCAAAAGTGTAGTTTGCCCATGCAGATATCAAGGAAACCTATGATTGTGAAACAATTGATGGGCAAGTTTTTTTGTGATGGTCCTTCTTTACAATGCACTACACATTTGCAATTGACAATATGGAATCATACAGAATTCTTAAAGCCTATGTTACAGCTTCCTTACGTCTACCTTTAGTTCTAGGTATTATTTGACTGCAAAACGTATTATAGACGTTCACCTTGGCATAATTTCTTTTCCATCCCCAACATGTCAACAGCATTATTTGAAAGCACCACACTTTCACCCTTTATCCTCTCCAGATTCTGGCTAAGAGGCAATATCCCATGTCTATTCAAGAGTTAGCCACTTTAAAGGCATTTTTGAATGACAATTTGAAGAAAGTATTTATTCATCTCTCTATCTCCAGCATCTGCACCTACATTTTTCATCTCCAAGAGGGGTAATTCTTTTAGGACTGTGCATGATGCTTTCGAACCATTAGGGATCACTACCCATTGCCTCTTATTTCAGAATAAGCCACTTCACAAGGCATACATTTTCACAAAGTTGGACTTAAGAGGTGCTTACAATGTGATCAGAATGAAAGAAAGGCACAAAAACTTCATTTGACACAAATATGGCAAATATGAATATGGAATAATTCCATATTCATGAATGAAATATTTTCTGATCTTTAGGATAAATGTGCAGTGGTATACTTAGATGGTTTACTGATATCTTCAGAAGACTCATCTCTGCACTAGACTCACATTAGAAATGTCTAGAGAGATAAAATCAGACTATTTGCTAAGTTAGAAAAAATATCTACTGATCTTCCCAAATCTGATTATTTGGGTTATCAGATCTCTACAGAAGGAATACAGATGGATCCTGCAAAGGGACAATCCATACTCTCATGCCAAACACCTAGAAATGTCAAGGATGTCCAGTGTTTTCTGGGATTTACAAATTTTACAGAAAGTTCATTTCTAACTTTGAAGAGTGCCTAAGACCTGTCAACTCCTAAAGAAATGACATGGATTTAAATGGTTTACTCAAGGGCAGCAGCATTTTAAGAAGTGACAGCACATTTATCCTTACAGCAACTGCTCAAATATCCAGACCCATCTTTCCCCTTGGTGGTGCAAGTAGGTGATTCAGAAGTTGGTGTAGCAGCTGTTCCCCAGGTAGAGAAGGGAGATCTCCTGCCATGTACATTTGATTCCAGATTGCTTCTCCCAGATAAATGGAACTATGACATTTTCAGTAAAGAGTTGCTTGCAGTAAAGATAGAGTTGCAACAATGGAAGCACTTCTTAGAATGAACGATCCATCCAGTACAGGTATGCACAGATCATGAGAATCTGGGCCCTACAGAAAGGTTGGGAACAGGGAAACATACAAGGAATCTTTTAAATTGCATTAAAGTGCATAACGACAGGGGGCATATGCCAGGATTTCAAGTGATGACCTCCAGGGAGTCCCATGGACTGCTCCTTTGCCTTTCTCTCTGAATGAGAGGCAATTGTTTTACAACTTTCATTTATATGTTCTCCTTCTTTTAAGGTACTGAAACCCTGCCATGACAATAAAACTGCTCGATATAGAGATGTGTTTAAAACAATGCATCAGGTACTCAGAGTGCTACTGGCTGAGGGTGGGAGCACAGTGTAACATGTCATGCTTGTTGCCAGGCCAAGTCTGTTTCTGGAAAGCCATCTGGCTTGCTTCAGCCCAGGGGATTCAACTAAGGGATTATGTTTCAATGAATGTTATTATAAGAGTCATAAGCATTTTTGTGGAGGTGGATTTATTCACCAGGATGGCTCATTTTGTTGCTGGCAAGGGCCTTCCATCAGCTCAGGTAACAGTGCAGCTTTTTCTAGACCACCTTTTAAGATACAGGGGCTTGGCCAATCATAAGATCTTGGATCACACTCTCAATTCACATTCAGGTTTTAGAATACCTTCTTCCAGGTATTAGAGTATAAGTTTCATTAGTCATCCTTGAATTATCTGGCTTCTAATGGCAAAATTAATTTATCATCATCAAGTGATCTGCACAGAGAGAGTGAACCAATTATTAGAATAGTACATAAGGTACTGTGTCTCTTATCAACAGGACAATTGGAGTGAACTGTTGCCTCTTGCAGAATTTGCCTACAACAACTCAGTGCATTCCTACATATAGTCTTCAGCCCTGAATTTTGCCTTCCAGAACTCTTGCATCTGCTGTTCCTCACACCTTGGACATTATGCAGGAAAGGCAAGCTGCTTTTAAAGGGATAGCTAGATCTGGCAAAATCTGCATTCAAACAGGCCACTGCTTATTGTTGAGGAGTCCCCTCTCCCCTTTGCATTCTACAGTTGTTCTTCCCCCACCCCAAAATCTAGTGGATGTAGAAAAAGAGTATTAAGTATAATGTATTCTTGACTCTAGATACAGTGGGAAATGATTGGAATATATATTTCAGTGGAAAGACTACCTTGAATCCAGTGCCCGAGTCTGTAGTTTCACCCTTCTGTAGTTCCACCAGCTGACTAACTTCTCTCGGAGTTGCCTTGATCTTAGCTTCCAACCTCATTTTCCAGGGGAGAGGGGGTTGTACTGCTGTTCTTCTTAATAATGTAGCCAAGTATTTCCAGGATTACAGTGGCTGTAGTGTATACCAGTTCATTGGTTTGGGTTATGGTGGGAGTAGGGATTGTTGTGAGGGCTCTATTGGCATCTTCTAGCATACTATCTGATGGTACTTCTCCACTTGGTAATCAGTCTCAAGGGCTGACTGTAGCTAGTTTATCCATTATCTTATGCTTCATATCAGCTGCTGTACTCTGTAATGGAGGGGGTAGCAGTGACATTCCAGCTTCAGGTATTGGCTGCACATCCAGTTGTTCTTCCAGATCTTCTTGAGTCCAGGATGTAATGTGTAGTTGGTCTATCTCAAGTTGTGAGAGCAGCTTCTTCTTCACTATATTGAAGTGTTGGGTAACTAGCTATTTCTCAGTTACTGTGGATTCTGTTCATCCATACAGTAGTTCCCTCGTATGTTCATATATCTCCT